GATAATCCAAGAATAATATCATACGATACAACCTAGGGTTCTAATCACTTTTATACCAACAAGAATACAGTTCGTCTTTTAATTGCAAGATTCGGTACAAATAACACATAAGCATCAAGGACGCCATACAATTATCAAGAGTGACAAATAATCATCAAGAACTCCACATAATCATCAAGAACACCATAATTATCAAGAATCTTCTAATATCAAGATTATCAAGATCCCCCATGGGATCATCACATCAATTATCAATAATAATCATCATAACTCGCCAATACACAATACTATGGGGAAATCCTACGGGGGAAATCATAGCTATGAAAATAGGTTTTGTTGAGACATGGGTTACCTCTTAGCCTTAATTAATTCCTTGGCTATGAAGGATCTTTCTTTAAGCTTTCTTGATTTCTTGATTTCTCCTAAGGGGATTCTTGGAACTCTTTGGGTGGTGAGAGATTATTGTGGTGGGGATTCTAGGTGCCTCCTAAGTTCCCTATTTATATATTTAAGACTCCTAGTTAGGGCCTGAATGGTATGGGTTTACTAATTCTATTCCTTATAGGGCTAGGGCTTGTTTTAGGGATAAGGGTCCATGGTCCATAGTGGACCATATTAATTAAAGAGGATCCTAATCATAATCTGAATAGTAAAAGGCCTACTTCCTTTATTCCTAACAGGCTTAAGATTCTTATTCGGGCAAGGGTCCATGATTCATGGTGGACCTTATTAATTAATTAAAGGTAAACCTAACATAATTAAATCATATTTAATTATTATTAACGGGATTAATTAAATAATTAATCCGGGATTGAAGGCCGTAACATGGGGTGTTACAACTTTTCCCTTATGATTGTATCCCAAGCTAACCTAGAAGACATTTCTCATTCTTCTCCTAACACACTCAAAACAAAAGCTCTTCCTTCTCTCTAGAATTTAGCTAGCTTTTCCTCCAAGCTAAGTTGGGACTTTCCAAGATCTTCAAAGGTCCCCAAGATTCCACATTTCCTACTCTTGAGCATCTAAGAGGGTAAGATCTATGTTCCTTTTGTGTTTTTAGTGCTTTCTAAGGTATCCTTTTCTAAAGATGAAATCTTTATGGTCTTTTGGTGTGTTCTTGAAGTGGGTGTTGAAAGTGAACCTTGTTAGGAGCTTTGAGAAGTGTTATAAGTGAAGGTTTAGTCTTCAAGAGGTAACCTATGCTTTACAAAATATATTTTACTTACCTATATGATGATTTCGTGGATTCTACTTGTGATTTTGCTATGAAATGTGGGTTTTGATGCATTGTCTTGTGAGAATGCATATCTAGAGCTTGTTATTAGGGTTCTTATACGTCATTGCTTGACTATTCCTTTGATTCAAGTCATATTGTTGTATTTGGTGAGATTTTGGGTGTTTTGGACTTGAATTTGAGTTTGGTGTTGAAAATCCCCGAAGGGATATTTTGGTAGAGGGTTGTGTACCCGCGGGCGGAACGGCGGGTAGGGGTCCACCCGCCGCCCCACCTGCGGGGTATGTAGCTTGTGGGGATGTGGTTCCCGCGGGTACGTTGGTGGTTGTTGGGGATTTGTTCCCCGTGATTCTTTTGACTCGGTAATTGATGTTTTGACTTCCCGATGTTCTTTTGTTGGGCTTTTGAGTGTTTTCTTGATGTTTCGTATGTCTAGAACTATGTGGTAGGATTCCATGTAGGTTTTGATGTCTTGAATCGTGCTAAGTGTTCAACCTTGTGATTCGTTGAACCATGATGAGTCTTGTGTGTTCTTCGGAACTATGTTTTGTTTACCCGTTTGATAAGCATGCTAGTTCGGTTTTGAAATGCTAGCGTGTGTTGTTTGTCCTTTCCTATTGTGGATGATGACTTGTGTTGATCATCGTTGTTGTCGGATTGTGATCCTTCCTTGATTGAGTATGGTTTCATATCTTTGTTGTGATCCATTGATTGATTCCTATGATGGTGTTGTGTGTGGTGGCTGTACCTGGATTGCAAGATTAATGGAATGGGACATTAGTCACCAAGGTACGACAGTGGTCCTCGTGGTGGCCATGACGTGATTATGTAGTTATGAACTGGGCTATAGGCTCATATGTGTCGGAGTGGGCTTCAGGCTGTGTGAATTGAACGGTACCCTCGTGTACTATGAAATCGGTGGTTGTTGATTTGGTGGGTATAGGTGGGGAACGACGATTCCCGGAGGCATAAGGTTGGACTTGTATGTACAGGGGTCTGGGGGTAATGGTTGGAACTAGCTATAAGGTTGGGGGTAGTCATAAGGTTGGAACCGGTCATAAGGATGGATTGTGGTAAAGGTGACATGTAGTGTCACGGTGGCATGTTTTGCCAATGTGTGATTGTCTATCTTTCTGTTGAGCATGTCGAGTGGTAATCTACTTTGTGATCAGTAGAATACGCCTCGAGTTGTACTTGTTGTTGTTGTCTTGTCTTGATGTTTTCTACTTTGTGATCAGTAGATTATATCTCGTGCGGTGTTGAGTTGTTCTGTTGTCGTTCTTGTCTTGATGTTGCCTTGGGATGTGATTCCCCGTTCTTTTGAGAGTGAAATAGAGTCTTTACAGTTGACTTCTCTCTTTATGATTTTGAACTGTTATATACTGTATTCCGTTTCGAAAACGATTTTGTATAAACTATATATATATATATATATATATATATATATATATATATATATATATATATATATATATATATATATATATATATATGCTATTGACGCGTATTGATGGGTTACCAGCATTATTCGCTGACCGGCGTCGTCCCTTTTATTTATGTGCTTTTCAGGTCCCGAGTAGTGACGAGCGCGAGATAGAGGTGGCTAGTGTAGTTCCACCAGACTCTTTTAGTTATGTTTTGGGCCTGTGTGCCCCTTATGCTAGACTTTTAGGCAGTTGTTGATGATGTTGTTGCATGTGCGTTCACTTAGTGTGGACGTGTCATAACACTCTCCGTTTTCCAGTTTTATATATAGACTCCCGCTGTGTTTAGCATATGTTTATGGTTAGAATATCTTGCACGTTTAAGTTTAAAATGGCATGAAAATCGGGGGTGTTACAAGATATGTAGACATACTAACCAGCATATTGGGCTGAAATTCTTTGATATTGCTATAAAACATGTCTAGCTTAACAAGTTTCCCAAAGAAAAATTCAGATGGTATGCAACTTAAATGACAATCATGTAACCTAAGTAGTCTGAGTTCATTGGACAAATATTTAAAAGATCCACTAAGACACACACCATCCAATATGAGTATCCATAAAATTTTCATCCCTTCGAATGCTTCGGTATTGAAAGGCTCATCTTTAACATCTTAGAATTTACAATCATCCCTTGAATTGCATCCGTCCCCTAATTAAGAAAAAATACATTTTATATAGAAATATGTTAGACATTATAAAATCTTCATATTTTAATGAAACTAATTAAATACTACAAGAAAATGGATAAACTAGAATATATAACTCAATTAAGTAGAAAGGAAATGTTTTACCTTCTTTCCCTGAAGAACATCAATGTTATCCACTACTGGAAATTATGGAATTTCCGACCACCTAAAAGTGATCTTAAATCAAGTCGAAAGCCTTGTTCCGACCACTTTTGGTATCCGGAAAACCCTTTGTTGCTATTTCCGACCACTTTTTGGTATTAACTTGATTTAAGATCACTTTCAGGTGGTCAGAAATTCCATAATTTCCAGTAGTGATCCTTTAGATCCACCAATCTACTGCATTTGCCAGGCTCTCATGGGGATTCCATTCGAACAATTTCTCTACCCATATCATGAACTAAATCATGCATTATTTCAAATTTTCCATAGTAATTTATTGTTAACAAGAAAATTTTCCATAGTAATTTATTGTTAACAAGCATCTATTTGTCAAAGTTTTGATTCCACTTCCAGGAAAAGAATTATTAGCTTTCAATATCTCAACAATGTTATTTTTGTCATCCCCAATGAAAAAACAAGCAATATCAAGAAATATGTACTTTTTTTTTTTTTGGAAAATCAAGAAAGATGTACTTAGTACCATCATCAAGTGTATCGTATCTTATTTTAAGAATCTTGTGAATTTCGCCATGAGGCATCTTTTTAAATTTCTCAGCATCATCCCTCCATTCTTGCATTGATTTTCCCTGTAAATGAGAATCTATGACTTCAAGGGCTAATGCAAGCCCATTAGTATAACTTGCTATCGTTTTGAATAATTCATTATACTCCTCCAATGGTACAATGATACCAAAAGTATGCCAACTCAAGAGTTGCAAAGATTCATTAAAGCTTAACATGTTTGACACCAAAAGCATGTTCATTATTTTATGTATATTAATCATATGATTTATTTTTATTAGAAGTTATTTTTATTTTTATTTACTATTTTATCATATTATGAAAATATATATGGTTAGTTAATAAAATCAAGAATTTTTACTAAAATAATTATAAGTTTGGCTTTACAAAAATGTTCCTAAGTTTTTGGGAGAAAATTTGGCTAGGCACTTTTATTATTATATATAGATATAGATATAGAGATATATAGATACTAAATTACTCCGTAGCATTTAACTTTATTTAAAAAAAATGGACTCCACAAGGTTGATAGATGCCAAATTTTGTCATCCTTGCAATACACATGGATTAAAAAGTAACCAACAAAAAAAAAAAAAAAAAAAGTTTCCTAAAGATAGTTGAGTGGGATGAAGCAGCATGATTCTTGTACAAAAAGACACCATGAGTTTGATTATTACAAATACCGTTTGGTATAAATTTTGTATAAGAAAATATTGAAAATATTTCTTTTGATATAAATTTGAGTGCTTTGAATTTGAGATGACCTTATTTGCACCAAAAATTTTAAATAATTAAGTCATTTGCATCCTTAAAATACTCTCTTATTTTTAAAAGTGAGTCATATTTTCATTTCACTAATAATTTCTCTTCATCATCACTGTAATTCTAATTCACTCTCAAAATATAATATAATACTAAATTAACATTAAACTTTATTTTAAAAAACATTTACTCAACAAGATGAATGGTGTCAAATTTTGTCATCCTTGCAATACCCATGGATTAAAAAAGGAAAAAAAAAATGTCCCAAAAAGATAGTTGAGTGGGATGAAGCAATAACATGATTCCCGTAGAAAACTACACTATGAATTTGATTATTACAAATATCCTTTTTTTGAACCCATCCTACAGAATTTAGGATACCATCAAATAGACAAATAGTATCTGTGAGTTTTTCTTGTCGCCCCAAAGTTGATGGTTAGTTGTTGCTAAGCCCAAACATGATGCTACTCTACCAAATGTAGTTGAGGTTGATCAAATTGCAGGAATGGCCATCTGGATGGAAAGGAAAGAAGCGCAGTTGTCTATCAGTGTTCCTGTGCATTTCAAATAAAAAAGTGTATGCAAAGGATGGAATTATGCAAACACCTCCACTACCTCCCCCACCATTACTGCCACCTCAAAATCAACTCTGATCTTCCATACTTAGCTTCTTCTTCTTCTTCTTCTCCACACTGCATTATTCATATATCTCCAACCCAAGCTGAGGCGCCACTGGTTTTGCTTCTGGTAGCGTAGCGATAAGAACTCCATTATATTGCAATCACCAAAACAAAAGTCCATCAGAAACATATAAACGAATCCATGCCTCGAAAACGTTGGAATAATGCAACAGGCAAATGTTTTACATACTTGAAGCGAAATCTTCACACTGTCACCTTCTCATCAATACATGCACCAAATCATTAGAGAGAGACAGAAAGTGATCAGTGGAACATAACTAACCTGCAACCACTTTTCAATCTGATCAGAGGAATCCATCCCCAAAGCACTGCAATTTGTAAGGATTCCAGACTCTCTCTAGACCTGGAAGCTCAGCCAACCTTTTGCAGTTGGGAAAATACAACCTTTTACCGTCTTTTCAAGCTTGAGCCAGCCCGTCACACATGGTTTTCCTAGCATGATTTATCCAGAAAAGAGCAAATCTTGTGATTAACTAGAAGAGGTCAATATATAACAAGAGAAAAAGCATACTCCCACCCCTTTTGATTTTTCCTCTCTTCTGGAATATTAGAAAATACATGAAAATCAAAAGATACATATATTAGAAAATATCTGATCAATAAATTAACAATATTCTTACCAAACTTTAAAAACATATGTATATATGTACTTACAACTCCACAATTTTTAGGATCAATTAAGTCGCTTACCACCATGCCAAAAGTCATACTAACTAACTAACCTGGAAACCAGTTTTCAACTGAAGGAGGAGTCAAACGACAGCAATTTCTTATCTCGAGCAAATGTAAGTTTTCAAGAGTCTCTAGGCCTGGAAGCGGAGCCAAGTTCTTGCAGTTGGGAATATACAATTGTCAGAGTCTTTGCAAGGTTGATATATCTTCTATTTTTTCTAATGACACACAATTTCCTGCAAAGAGCGACTCCAAAGTAGGAGGAAGATCTTTAAGTACTCTTAGACTTTGACAGTCATCCAAGTTGAGGTTTTGCAAGAAACGAAGATCACGAAGGCTGAATGGTAAGTTTTGAATATAGAAACATCCTGATAAACGTAAATCTGTCAATGAGGTCAAACTCCCAAGACCTATTGGAAGATCTATTTCATACAGGTTGTTGCTATGAGAACAATGTCTTTCCAACGAGCATAATTGAGCAACCGAGGGTGGAAGTAAAGCAGCACGACCAGCACAATGACGAGTAGTTCTTCTTGATCGTAGTAAACCCAAGTCCAGGTTCTTTAGCTTACTCAAACATCCCAAAGAAAAGGGCATATTGTGATGGCAGTTAGCCTAACATTTAACTCAAGAAGTCCCTTCAAACTTCCAATTGACTGGTGCACCTCGACCAATTTTGAACAACTATGAAAGGATACTTTCTCAAGCCTATGTGCTCCAGTGAAGTCTGGCGTTTTCTCAACTTCACAACCATCAAGCTTTAAGATCTTCAAGCATGTCAAATGCTGTTGAAATAAAGGAGAGTTTTAATCAATTTCTATTTTTTTTTATTCAAAGCTCTAAGAAAATATGTAATGTTAAAATTAAATAAGCATTATACATACTAACCTTCATATCCGGCTGAAATTCTTTGATATTGCTACGAGACATGTTTAACTCAAAAAGTTTCCCAAAGAGAGAATCAGATGGCCATTGTGAGGAACTGAAATGACAATCACATAACCTAAGCAGTCTAAGTTCATGGGACAAATATCCAGAGTGAAACTAATTAAACATTAAATACTACAAGAAAATGGATATACTCAGAGTGACATTCTAATAAACTATATTCCAAAGTGGTAGAGATCAGTGGAACATAACTAACCTGCAACCACTTTTCAATCAAAGGAATCCTCAAATTAAAGCACTGCAATTTGTAAGCTCACCCAACCTTTTGCAGGTGAGAAAATACAACTTTCCCAGTCTTTTCAAGCTTGAGCGGTTGAGCCAGCCCGTCTCCTAGTGTTCATCCAAAAAAGAGCAACTCTTGTGATTAACTAGAAGAGGTCAATAACAATATAAAAATCACACTCAATCAAAAGAAAACATTAGAAAATATCTGCATGATCAATAAATTAACAATATTCAATTCTTACCAAACTTTTTTTCAAAAAAAAAAAAATATTTACAACTCCAATATCATTCATGTTTCTTGCTTGCCACTTTTGAAACCTCGCAGAACACTACTTGTTAAATCTTGAGTAGGCAGTAATTTACGGCGTTTCATCCTATGCGATGTTGGTTCATCTTGCTGAAACCCCCTTGTGGATGGAAAGAAACGCACTACCCCATCTGCGTTTCTGTATACGTCAAATATACTAAGTATCTCTGTAGGATTGAATTCTGCATACACCTCTAATACTTCTCCAATTATTCTTGGCACCTCAAAGTGAATTCTTTTGAACTGATTAAACCTAAACCTAATATATTCACCGCCCTCTACAATCCAAGCACCAGTGGTTCTGCTCCTGACAGAGACTCGAACTCCATAAGCACGACTGCAAATTCTAGGGGTAGAGGTTCTTATATGCCCCAAAAGTGTTGGAACAATATACTTTATAGCATTGACTCCCCGTCCTTGAAGACAAATCTTGAAACTATCACCTTCACAACGTGCCTACATTAATATTATTGGATACAATTAATACCAAAACATTACCATCTAACTAGCTAATTATTACTAGCTGCTACAGAAACACAAAACTGATATATATATATATATATATATATATATATATATATATATATATATATATATATATATATATATATATATATATATATATGTATGTATGTATGTATGTATGTATGTATCAGGGAAACAACATATATAACTAACCAGGAACCAGTTTTCAATCGGAGGATTCAAACCACTGCAATTTCTTATCTCAAGTGTTTCTAAGGATCCAAGAGTCTCTAGGCCTGGAAGCTCAGCCAAGTTTTTGCAGCTGGGAATATACAAGCTTTCAAGTCTTTTCAAGGTTGATATATCTGCTATTTTTTCTAATGAGACACAATTTCCTGCAGAGAGTTTCACCAAATTAGGAGGAAGTTCTTCAAGTACTCTAAGATATGTACAGTCACCCAAGCAGAGATCCTTCAAGTTAAAAAGATGACCAAGGCTGAATGGTAATTTTCGAAGATAGAGACATCCTGATAAATCTAAAGCTGACAATGAGGTCAATCTCCCTAGATCATTTGGAAGATCTATTTCATCCAGGTTGATGTAACGCGTACTCAGTCTTTGCAATGAGCATAAATCCCCAACTGAAGGTGGAAGAAAGCGAGCAGGGCCACGAGTTCTTGTTGATGGTACGAAACCTATTCCCAGCTCCAGGATCTCTAGATTTCTCAAACGTCCCAAAGAAAATGGTATATTTGAGATGGCAGTTCCCCTAGCTTGTAACTCTTTTAGTTGCTCTAAGTCTCCCAAGTTAGTTGGAAGCTCCTTCAGTTTTCGGCAAGACCCTAAATTTAAAACCTTAACTGATCTTAACTCACAAATGCTACTTGGAAGCACCTTTAGTGCACTGCAAGAGTTGAAATCTAACTCAACAAGTTCCTTCAAACTTCCAATTGACTTGTGCACCTTGACCAATTTTGAACAACCATGAAAGGATACTTTCTCAAGGCTATGTGCTCCGGTGAAGTCTGGCGTTTTCTTAAGTTTACAACCATCAAGCTTTAAAATCTTCAAGCATATCAAATGCTGTTGAAATAAAGGAGAGAATTTTAATCAATTTCTTTCTTCTTTTTTTTTCTTTTTTAATTGAAAGCTCTAAGAAAATATGTCATGTTAAAAATTAAATAATTAAGCATTAGACATACTAACCTGCATATTGGGCTGAAATTCATTGATATTGCTACGAGACATGTTTAACTCAACAAGTTTCCCAAAGAAAAATTCAGATGGTGTGCAACTCAAATGGCAATCATGTAACCTAAGCAGTCTAAGTTCATTGGACAAATATTTAAAAGATCCACTAAGACACACACCATCCAATATGAGTATCCGTAAATTTTTCATCCTTTTGAATGCTTTGGTATTGAAAGGCACATCCCTTAACATATTGGAATTTACAATCATCCCTTGAATTGCATCTGTGCCCTGATTAAGAAAAAAAAAAGACATTATATAGAAATATTTTAGAGATTATAAAATCTTCAAAGTTTAATAAAACTAATTAAATACTAGTACAAGCAAATGGATAAACTAGAATATATAACTCAATTAAGTAGAAAGGAAATGTTTTACCTTCTTTCCTTGAAGAACATCAATGACATCCTTTGGATCCACCAATCTACTGCGTTTGCCAGGCTCTTGTGAGGATTCCATTCTAACAATTTCTCTACCCATATCACGAACTAAATCATGCATTTCAAATTTTCCATATTCATTTATTGTTAACAAGCATCTATCTGTCAAAGTTTTGATTCCACTTCCAGGAAAAAAATTACAAGCTTCCAATATCTTAACAGTGTTGTCTTTGTCATCCCCAATGAAAAAACAAGCAATATCAAGGAAGATGTTCTGAGTATCATCATCATCAAGTGCATCATAGCTTATTTTAAGAATCTTTTGAACTTCGCCATTAGGTATCTTTTTTAATTTCTCAGCATCGTCCCTCCATTCTTGCACTGATTTACCATGTAAACGAGAACCTATGACTTCAAGGGCTAATGGAAGCCCTTTCGTATAACTTGCCATCGTTTTGGATAGTTCACTATACTCCTCTAATGGTACAGGGGCACCAAAAGCATGCCAACTCAAGAGTTGCAAAGATTCATCCAAGCTTAACATGTTGACCTCGTACTTTTCGTGTGCTCTAAGGTTACTCAACAACTGAACATCTCTAGTTGTTATGATAATTATGCTGCCTGAACCAAACCAATCTCGTTCTCCTGCTAACGAGTTTAGTTGATCTCTATGGTCTATGTCATCAAGAACAATAAGAACCTTTTTTGATGGCAGTATTCTTTTAATTAAAAGTATCCCTCTATCAACATTATCTATTTCATGTATTTTTCTCTTGAGCGTATCGCGAACAAGTTTCTCTTGTAAACGAGCTAAATCATCATGTCGTCCCCCAGAAACTTCAGATCTAATGTTTGCGATAAAACAACTACCTTCAAACCTTAGAAAATTCCTGTTGTATATAGCTTTAGCAAGGGTTGTTTTCCCAACACCACCCGTGCCAAAAATTCCAATCATCTTCACACCATCATTTGTTTGACTTTGCAAAAAATTCTCCATATATTTCACACGAGAATCAATTCCAACCTGATACCTTGCAACATTCATGTATGTATGATTCAATTCCCTTAGCACACATTCAGTAATTTTTTTGATGAACCCTGACTCATACCTGATTACATTTAAATTTATTAAATAAATGTCATTCACTCAATCTAAAATCGAAAAGTTAAGAAAAAAAAACACAAGATTAAGAAACCAAATTGAACACATGAGGTAGATTCTTCTTGGTTTAACCATCTACAAATATGAATTCATGAGGTATGTATATATAGATAGATGCTAGCTAGAACTTAGAAGGCAAAATTTAATTAGCAAATATAATAGTATTGCCTATATAATTAACATACTATATATCACATAAAAATTAAATTCAATTCAATTAAAACAATAAAAAATTACCCGTCTTTCATGATTTCTAAATCCCATCCAGACAAATCAGCAACGGCAGTGAGTGCAGCTTTCCACCCATTAACTCTTTCTTCTCCAAATTGCTCTTTATGTTGATTCAGTGCGATACCAAACTCGCCTGTCTGTTTGCGAACCTCTGAAGGAGTAACATGATAGAATATGGGAAGAATCTTTTGTCCCAATTTCTGTTTACACTCCACCATTTTCACCAGCTCGTCAAGGCACCATCTGGATTGGGCATAATTTTTGGAGAATACAACAATGGATATCTCAGACCCCTCAATGGCCTGCTTCAACTCATCAGAAATGTCGTTGCCTTTCCGGATCTCTTCTTCATCTCGAAAGGTTAGAACCCCAGCTTCCCACAAGCTTGTGTAGAGATGATCGGTGAATGATCTCCGTGTCTCGCCCTTAAAGCTCAAGAAGACAGAATACTTCGAATGAGAACGCGATGAAGAAGAAGAAGAAGCCATAGTAGCTTGAATTGAAATTGAGATCACAACACTCTCTTTGCTTCTGTTAATTTTGCTTTTGCTAGCAGCTAGCTAGATATATGGTTTCAACTTTCACTCAATAGATTAAAAGAGCTTGGAAAATGCGTATAGTAGACGATTAAAGTGGCCCGCCCTATAAAAGACTCCTTTTAAGTTTTAATGGCCGACAGAGTGTATAAATGTCTACAAAGTAAAGATTTGTGAATCTTCGTACATTGACGTGGTCTTTTTTAATAATTTACCGCAAATTATATGAAAGGCTACTTTATCTTGTAAATTCTGATTCAAAAATAATTTTTTGATTTTGTGTCTATAGTAAACACATTTTATATTTGTAGTTGATCAAAAAAGGATCCTCGTGTCTCACCTCTAAAACTCAAGAAAACATCATATGTGCGAGCATATGATGAAGAAGAAGATGATGATGATGCCATACTTGAAATTGAGTATACTATCTCTCTAGATTTTGAAGCAGAATGCCTTTGAGCTATAACTAAAGATTTAAAGAGCTACAAATTAAAGGGTCGTGTAGCAGACTAGCAAAGGATGAAGAATCAACCTCTCAAAAGACTTAATGGTGATCGCTGGCGAAACCCTCAAATCCAACATAACCACAATCAGCCTGCTCGTTCTCCCACCGTCGGAGCAGCTCTTCTTTCTCTTCACCCTAATCGACCGGAAAATCTTCAATCCCAAATGGAAACCCTACATTCCCGACTTCAAACAGGCCTTCAAACACTTCTGCATCAACGCCGGTGGCCGCTCCGTCATCGACGATCTCCAGAAGAACCTGCAGCTCTCGTCGGAGCACGTGGAGGCCTCCAGGATGACGCTGCACCAGTTCGGAAACACGTCTTCTTCTTCGCTCTGGTACGAACTCAACTACATTAAATCCAAAGGGAGGATGAAGAAATGCGATAGGATTTGGCATATATTGGTAGTGGATTCAAATGTAACAGTGCGGTCTGGAAATGCAATCGGAACCTTAAAAAATCGACGATGGACCATGAAATTACATATATATCTTCAAAAATTACAATCAACAAACGGTCAAATAGACGAAGAACCAAATCGTGTTAAAATTGCATAATTAAGAACTTAATTGGTTAAAATTGAAAGTCAATGACCAATTTGTAAATTTAACTATAGTCGAGGGATTATTTTGGATATTTACTAAAAAAAGAAAAAAAAAAAAAAAAAAAAAACTTTCACTCAATAGATTAAAAGAGCTTGGAAAATGCGTATAGTAGACGATTAAGTGGCCCTATAAAAGATCATTCTTGCGCTCCTTTTAATTAAGTTTTAATGGCCGACAGAGTGTATAAAAGTCTAAAAGTAAAGATTTGTGAATCTTCGTACATTGACGTGGTCTTTTTTAATAATTTACGGCAAATTATACGGAAGGCTACTTTATCTTGTAAATTCTGATTCAAAAATAATTTTTTGATTTTATGTCTATAATAAACACATTTTATATCTGTAGTTGATAGTTTTTATATATTTGAAAAGTTTGGGTGTAGTAGAAGACCGGTGACTCCGAAATTTTAAAGTCAATATAGGAAATTTCCTTCCAAAGAACACTAAACTCAAAGGAAAATTATTGTTCATATAGTACCATTGCCTACACTGACCAAATTAAAATGACAGTCCATCGAAAACATATAAACGAATCCATGCCTTGGAAACGTTGGAATAATGCAACAGACAAATGTTTTACATAAAGCAAATTAAAATCTTGACATGCAGTGTCACCTTCACTCATAACATGCATGCATGCATTATACTATATCATATTATATTATGGCATATATTCCATATAAGAGTTAATTAATACCAAAAGCATTACCATCTAATCTGAACACCAAATCATCAGAGACAGACAGAGAGTGGTAGACGTCAGTGGAACATATCATTCACAATTCTTGCTTGCCACTCAATTAAAAGATACATACATTACAACTCCACGACACCAAATATTATTCACGATTCTTGCTTGCCACTTTTGAAACCTTGCAGCACACTAATAGGTAAATCTTGAGTAGGCAGTAATTTACGACGTTTCAGCCTATGTGATGTTGGTTCATCTTGCTGAAACCCCCTTGTGGATGGAAAGAAACGCACTTCCCCATCCTTGTTTCTGTGTATGTCAAATGGACAAAGTATCTCTGATTTGTATGTAGGATTGATTTCTGCATACATGCATCTCTAATACTTCTCCAATTATTCTTCGGACCTCAGATCAAAGTGAATTCTTTTGAACTCACTTAACCTCAAACCACTGCAATTTGCATCCACTCTCACCAACCATCTTCTTATTCTTCTTAATTGTTGATTCTTCCTGCATGTATTCACAACATTGCTAAATTAAATCATTTTGTACCCTCCAATTTCATAACATTAAGCTATACTAGCTCCACATCATAAACCAATAAAAATATTTAAGGAAAAACGTAACTCGCAAATGCAACATGTTCTGTGTCTTCTCCTACTCCAGCCATCCTGTTTTCCTTGACTTTCAGCACACTGGATGACTTATGTACTTCTTATGTGCGACCCTTCACATTCCGTATGTATAGGTTTGACTTGAGGCTTTTTGGTCCAATTCTTGAGCTCCGATCCCTTTTGTTTCCATCATCCAATTGACTCCATCTCCATCCAAATGGTATGAAAACCACTCATATATAATTGCTTTGATCAAGTTACATTGTACCTATCCACACAAACATAGCAAATAAAAGCTCATTTGAACACGATCACTATATTTTAAGTATAAAAACAAGGTTATATATGAGATAAAATAAGACCAAATATGAATTTTGAAGTCATCTTTTTAATCTTTCTGTGGCACTTTATAATATATATATATATATATATATATATATATATATATATATATATATATATATGTGTGTGTGTGTGTGTGTGTGTGTGTGTGTGTGTGTGTGTGTGTGTGAGAGAGAGAGAGAGAGTGAGAGAGAGAGAGAGGGAGGGAGAGAGATAATCCAAATACTACAGTTGTGGATTGATTTATAAATAAAAAATATTAAAATGCCATTAAATTAAATAAAATAAACAACAAAAGATATAGTCCGATGTTAAAGAGATGTTTATCGATCAAGTGTGAAGGATATACTTACAAAATCCTTTTTGCAGAAAATTAGAAGCTGAAAATGATTGTTGCTAAGCACAAAGTAACTCTAATTTATGGTTGATGAAATTTGCTTTGTGGATGGAAAGAAACGCACTTCTCCTTCTATGTTTCTATGTATCTCAAATGCAAAAAATATCATCTGCGAAGGATACAATTCTGCGTACACCTCCAATACTTCTCCCATCATTGTTGGAACCTCAAAATACGCAGGATAATAAAAGATTCTGGGGGATTCCATTCGAAGAATCCAAGCACCACTGCTTTTCCTTCTCACACTCAAATCAATTCCTTCAATTTTACTGCAGGGATCAATCACATCGTGGGGGATTTCAAACGTTACATCCCCCCAAGGCGTAGGAAATCTGCAGAACCCCTCGCCCCGGCTGGACGCTCCAACCACAATTTGGACAATATCACCTTTAGAGCGTGCCTACATTATGGAATACAATATAAAAATTAATAATATCATAATTATTACTATCGATCTATTCTAATATAATATCATTGATGAAGGGAATAGATATAACTAACCTTGAACCACTTTTCAATCAAAGGAATCCTCAAACCATTGCAATTATCTATCCCAAGATAGTTTAAGGATTCAAGACTCTCCAAGCCTGAAAGCTCAACCAAGCTTTTGCAGTTTTGAATATTTAGCCTACTGAGTCTTTTCATGCTTGATAGATCTGCTATTTTTTCTAATGACACACAATTCTTTGTGGAGAGTATCTCCAAATTAGGAGGAAGTTGTGGAAGTGATCTAAGATTCTGCCAATCGTCCAAGCAGACACTCTTCAAATTGGGATATTGATTTAATGGTAAACTTTGAAGATAATATCTTCCCATTAAATCCATTTCTTTCAAACTCCTAAGAGCAATTGGAACATCTTCTTCATGCAAATAGTTGTCAGCTGGAATAGTCAGAGCATTGCAATTCCTTATGTCAAGCTTTTCTAAGGATGAAAGACTCTCCATGTTTGGAAGCTCAATCAAACTTTTGCAGTTTCGAAGCCGCAGGAGTCTAAGTCTCTTCAAGTTTGATACAGCTACTATTTTTTCCAATGAGACACAATTATTTGCAGTGAGGTCCACCAAACTAGGAGGAAGTTCTACAAGTACTCTAAGATTTTGCAAATCCTCCAAGTAGAGAAATTTCAAGTTTGAAAGATGACAAAGGCGAAAGGGTAAGCTTTGAAGATAACAACATCTTCCTGATAAATTTAAACATACCAATGAGGTCAAATTCTCAATAACTTCCAAGGAACACACATTTGCAACTGAAGGAGGAAAAAAACCAACACCATCACCACTTCTTCTTGAACACAAAAGAGGCAATTTTGATAGTACAGATGTGTTGTACAACTCGAGATCTAGTGTCCTCAGATTTCTCAAACATCCCAAAGAAAATGGTAAATGTGAGAAGGTAGTTCCACAACCAAGTAAATCTCTTAGTTGCTCTAATTTTCCGAAGTCAATTGGAAGCTCCCTCAGTTTTACGCAATGATCTATATCTAAAACTTCAAGTGATTTTAACTTGCAAATGCTATTTGGAAGAACCTTGAGTTTCTTGCAACCTCCGAAATCTAACTCAACAAGTTTCTCCAAACTTCCAATTGATGGGTGTATCTTGACCAAATTTGAACAACAGAAAAAGGATACTTTTTGAAGAGTATGTGCCCCAGTGAAGTTTGGTGTTTTCTTAAGTTTTTCACAACGTTTAAGCTTTAAGATCCTCAAGAATCTAAAATGCTGTTGAAAAATAGTAGAAAAAGGTTTAATCAATTTCGATTTTTCTAGTCAAAGTTCTTAACTAAGAAATATGCAATGTTGAAAGAAATATTAGACATACTAACCTTCATATTGCATTGGAATTCTTTGATATTGCTACGTTCCATGTCTAACTCAACAAGTTTCTCACATCGAAAATTAGATGGTATGCGACTCAAATGACAATTGTGTAATCTAAACAACCTAAGCTCATTGGATAAATATTTAAAAGATCCGTTGAGACACATTCCATTCAATATGAGTATTCGTAACTTTACCATCCTTTTGAATACTTGAGTATTCAAATGCACATTATTTAACATGTTAGAATTAACCATCATCCCTTCAATTTCTTCTGTGCCCTATAAAAAAACATTTATATAACAATATTTTAGATTTTAAATATTTTGAAATCATTGATTTTAATAAAGTTAAGTATAGAAAGCAAATGAATTAACTAGAATAACTCAAATACAAAGGAAATGTTTTACCTTGTTCCCGTGAAGAACATCAAAAACATCCTTTGGGTCAATCAATCTACTTTGTTTGCCCGGTTCTCGTGAAGATTCCTTTTGAACAATTTCTCTTCCCATATCTCGTACTAAATCATGCATCTGAAGCCTTTCAAACTTTCCACCTCCATTTGTTGTCAACAAGCTGTTAGTATTAGCATTATTATTATTTTATAATATGATTGTAATTATATAATGTTAGTTATGTTTGACTTAGTATAGCCTAGTTGTCAGGAGTAGTTTTAGATGGATTACAGATATACTTTGTAATCTCAATTCAATCGCAACTGAATCATTTTTTGAATTCTCTAATCTGGTATCAGTCAGGATACGATTCTCTCTCCTCCGCAAACGCAATTTCCCCCCCCCCCCCCCCCTTCCCGTAAAACCTCACTGGCCAAAATTCTCTCCTCCTCTCACCGCTAGCCATGTCGTCCAGTTCCTCCGACCGAACTGCTTCCGCCTCCGGCAATCCAACTCCGGCAGGTGCGAACGGTCTTTCCGGCGCTCATCACTTCGTGAGCATGAAACTGACGAACAGAAACTTTCTGTTTTGGCGCACCCAAATCATCCCATTCCTTCGCGGCCAAGAATTGCTTGGTTATGTGGACGGGAGTTATCCATGCCCTCCGGCCACGATTGCCGCTCCTTCGACCGGGACCTCCGACGACGCGACTGCCTCCACCATTCCCAATCCGGCGTTCAAAGCCTGGGAGAAGCAGGACCAGTCCATATTGTCATTGTTGGTGTCCTCCATGGCGGATGAAGTTCTCCATCTCGCCATCGGAAAAGAAACGTCCGCTGCGGTGTGGTCATCCATTACATCCGCCCTCGGATCGTCGAGCCAAGCCAGATGCCTCAGTCTGTTGGGGCAGTTCCAGGTTCTCCGGCAAGGCCACTCCACCACCGCCGAGTACCTCGGGCGTGCGCAATTGCTCGTGGAAGCCTTAGCTCAGGCCGACCGACCATTATCCCTCATGGAGCAGAATCTCTATGTCTTTCGGGGATTACGTCCGGAACTGAAGGCCATGGCGACTTCCTTGACGGCAACGGGATCTCCGGTCACCTTAGCGCATCTCTCCGATCATCTCCAGGCCCACGAGTTTATACTCGTGGACGATTATCCGGTCGGTGGCGACTCACCTGGCAGCCTCACGGCCATGTACGCCAGCTCGGGTCGTGGCAGTACGCAGCAAGGTGGCGGCAGGCAGTCAGGAAATCCGCAAGGGCGTGGTGGCCGGAACAACCGTGGTGGCGGCCAGAATAGGGGTGGACGAGGTGGCCATGGAACTCCGAGGTGCCAGATATGCAGGTCCCACGGTCACACGGCGGTGTACTGCTACAAACGGTACAATACACAACCGCCGCAAGCCAACGTCGCGATCTCAAATGATGCACCGTCCATGCCGTCTACAGCTGCACCATCCGAAGCCTGGTATCCGGATACGGGAGCGACTGCCCATGCGACTCCGGATGCGGGCATGATGAGCCATTCGGATGAGTATACCGGCGCTGATGTCTTGCGTGCGCAGGTCTGGCGATCTCACGCGTTGGACATGCATCTCTCCCATCTAATTCTAAACCATTGTCTTTATCTAATATATTACACGTACCATCTTTGTCAGTTCCGTTATTGTCTGTGCAGAAATTCACATCTGAAAATAATGTCTTTGTTGAATTTCATGCTAATTGTTTTTTTTGTGAAGGATTCAACCACCAAGGCAATTCTTCTTAGGGGTCCCACCACTGGCGGATTATATAAACTCCCGGTGTCATCTAGCGTTCGTCAGTTCCCGGGCTACTCCCACGGTGTGGCATCGTCGCCTCGGTCACCCGCATAAACAGCTGCTCAATAAAGTCTTGTCAAATTGCCCGGTCATTCCAAATAAAAGTGAATCCGTGGAGTCATGTGTAGCGTGTCACCTTGGCAAGTCTACACATTTTAAATTAGATAAAGTTCCCAATATTAGTGAAAATGTATTAGATTTGGTCTATACAGATATATGGGGACCGTCACATGTAATGTCTACAAATGGTTTTCGCTACTTTGTACTATTTGTAGACGATTTTTCGCGTTTCTGTTGGTTTTATCCTTTAAGGATGAAATCTGACATATATAAAATTTTCGAGTTGTTTCGTGTGTTGGTAGAGCGACAATTCTCGCGCTCTATCAAGTCCATTCAGTCCGATCTAGGGGGTGAGTACCGAAAGTTACACACTACGTTCCAAAATCTGGGAATAAATCACCGTCAATCTTGTGCCTATACACATGAACAAAACGGGAGGGTAGAACGTAAAAACAGACACGTTGTTGAAATAGGTCTTACACTGTTAGCCGAAGGCAAAGTTCCCCAACATTACTGGGACTACGCTTTCGAAACAGCAACCTGTTTAATTAACTACTTACCCTCAGCAGCTATAAACTTTGAAATTCCCCACACCCGTCTCTTTAAAACACCACCACCATATGCCTTTCTTAGAGTCTTTGGATGTCGGTGTTTTCCCTATCTACGCCCCTATAACAGGCATAAGATAGAATACCGCTCCACTCCGTGTGTCTTCCTAGGTTACCCACCAACCTATAGGGGATACAGATGCATTGATCTAACAAGTGGGAAAACCTACATCTGCCGTCACGTCCGATTCGACGAGACTATTTTTCCTTTTTCTACAGGGCATACACCTGCTGAGACGACAACGCCCGCTTTACCATGGGCTGCGGCACCAATAGTCTCATCCCTTGCTCCTCAACCAGTGGCACCCAATAGCACACCGTGTTATGCCGAACCGGAGCCCGTACCACTTGCACGGGAGCCACCTGCACTGGCTATCACCCACACAGCACCGGTTAGAACCCGCAGAAAAAGGGTTGCTCCACAGAGTAGGGATCATGTCATGCGCCTGCGTCATATGACTAAGGGCACAGATGAGACATTCCAGGCCTTAACTGTCAGCACTGACCCAACGTGCTATTCTCAAGCCGTAGGTCATTCACATTGGCGGGAGGCAATGGATCAAGAGTTTAACGCTCTACTCCATAATCAGACGTGGCGACTTGTTGCTCCCGAGTCCCATATGAATATCATTGGGTGCAAGTGGGTGTTTCGCACCAAACGCAAGTCCGATGGCACGGTGGAACGCTACAAAGCGCGCCTCGTGGCAAAAGGGTTTAATCAAGTGGCAGGAGAGGATTTCTTCGACACCTTCAGCCCAGTGGTTAAACCCACCACTGTCCGAATGCTGTTCTCACTTGCAGTATCGAATCAGTGGACGCTACGTCAACTTGATGTTCACAATGCTTTCTTGAACGGTCACTTAGCAGAAACCGTATACATGAAGCAACCTCGGGGATATGAGGATCCCACCAATCCCGGGCATGTGTGCCTCTTACAGCGGTCGCTTTATGGCTTGAAACAGGCCCCACGCGCCTGGTTCAAGCGCCTTCATGATTTTCTATTATCTGCAGGTTTTAAATCCTCCAAAACCGATGTCTCCCTGTTCTTCTACACGGCCGGAGATTCCCGGGTTTTCTTACTTGTCTATGTCGACGACATAATCATGATGGGAAATGATGCTGCGCTGGTTGCCTCATTACTCCAACGGCTTGCTTCTGCTTTCAAAATTAGGGATCTCGGTACTCCTCATTTCTTCTTGGGCATAGAAACTATTTCCGATGGTGATTGTATTATCCTCTCTCAACGTCGATACATGACTGATCTCCTAAGTCGAGCTGGAATGGTAGACTGCAAGTCACTTGCCACACCAGCAGCCGTTACAAAGTCAGTCACACCATCTGAGGAACTGTTTGACAATCCGACTCAATATCGGCGTGTGGTTGGTGCTCTACAATACCTAACCATCACACGGCCCAATCTTTCATACTCAGTCAACCGGCTATGTCAGTTCATGCACTCACCTACAACTGAACACTGGGGGCTCGTCAAACGTGTCCTGCGTTACATAAAGGGGACCATCTCGCTAGGGCTACGGTTTGCGCCCTCATCTACTACTCACATACAGGCCTACTCGGACTCCGACTGGTCAGGGTGTCCTATTGATCGCAAGAGTACAAGTGGTTTTGCGGTATATCTAGGCTCTAATCTCATCTCCTGGTTATCCAAGAAACAACGCACCTGGCCCGGTCCTCCACAGAGGCTGAATACGAAGCCCTAGCCGATGTATCCGCTGAAGTTACTTGGGTTATTTCCTTACTCCGAGAATTGGGGCTACACTCCGGCGAATCCGCTTCTTTATGGTGCGACAATCTAGGTGCAACGTATCTTTGTGCCAACCCGGTCTTTCATGCACGCACCAAGCACGTTGAAATTGACTATCATTTTGTTCGAGACAAGGTGGCGTCCGGGGAATTTGTGGTTAACTACATCTCAACTACTGATCAACTAGCTGACATTTTCACCAAACCTCTTCCAGCTCCACGCTTTGCTACTCTACGGGACAAGCTCAACATTGTGCTTCACCAACCTTGAGCTTGAGGGGGTGTGTTAGTATTAGCATTATTATTATTTTATAATATGATTGTAATTATATAATGTTAGTTATGTTTGACTTAGTATAGCCTAGTTGTCAGGAGTAGTTTTAGATGGATTACAGATATACTTTGTAATCTCAATTCAATCGCAACTGAATCATTTTTTGAATTCTCTAATCCAAGCATCTTTCAATCAAAATTCTTATTCCACTTTTAGCATAAAAACCACAAGCTTCCAATATCATAGAAGTGTCATTTTTGTTATGCCCAATAAAAAAACAAGCAATATCAAGAAAGATGTTCTTAGTATCATCATCAAGTGCATTATAACTTATTTTAAGCATTTTTTGAACATCTTCATGAGGATTGCTTCTTAATTTCTCAGCATCTTCGAACCACTCTTGCATGGATCTTCCACGCAAATGAGAACCTATAATTGTAAGTGCTAATGGAAGTCCGCCAGTATAACTTGCTATCCTTTTGGATAGTTCATTATACTCCTCTAGTGGTACAGGAACTCCAAAAGCATGCAAACTTAAGAGTTGCAACGAATCATCAACGCTTAATGTTTTAACCATATACTTCTCTTGTGTTCCAAGGTCACTCAACAGATGAACATCTCTAGTTGTTAGTATAATTGTACTACCTGAACCAAACCAATTTCGTTGTCCTGCTAATGATTCTAGTTGACTTATGTGGTCTATGTCATCAAGAACAATAAGAACCTTTTTTGATTGCAATCTTGTTTTGATCAAACTTATTCCTTCATCAACGTTATCAATTTCAAATCTCTTCATCTTGAGTGTTTTGCGAAGAAGCATTTCTTGTAAACCAACTAGTCCATTGTGTCCCTTATTAGAAACTTCTTGTCTAATATTTGCAACAAAGCAACTACCTTCAAACCCGTGACAACTCATGATCAAGTGATTGTATATGGCTTTAGCAAGGGTTGATTTTCCCGCACCACCCATGCCAAAAATTCCAATCATTCGAACACTATTATTTGTTTGAGCTTGTAATAAATCAAGTATATCTTGAACACGAGAATTAATTCCAACAGGATGCTTTGCAACATTCATGGGCATAAAATTCAGCACCCCTAACACATCTTTAGTAATTGCCTCAATGAACTTTGACTCATACCTGGTCACATTTTAAATTTATGGCATATATTAAAAAAACAAAAAAAAAAAAAAAAAAAAAAAAAAAGGAAAAAAGCACAAATTTTAGATGTGAGTATAATTCATGCATACTTATAGGCTAGAAGTATGAAAGAAATTTCCAATCTTTAAAATATAGAACACTATCAATACAAGAAAACAGCTCATTACTGATCCATTGGTACTAATTAAAATTCCACAAAAAATTCGATTTTCAAATACAGATTTATGTTCAGAACCTACAACCAAAAATTAATTAAAAGCAGGTGCAGATTCTTCTCCAATTATTTTTAAAAAAAATTATTTAAAAAATTACCATAAACATGAATTTACTATATGAGTAAGTGTGTTAGATTGTGACAAAAATCCAAAAATAAAAGAAAATTTAAAAGAGTTAGGATTACCGAATTTTCATGGTTTGTAAATTCCATCCAGACAAATTAGCAGCTGCAGTGAGTGCAACTTTCCACTCATTAACTTTTTGATCTTCAAATCGTTCTCTATGTTGGGTCAATGCAAAACCAAACATGTCAGTCTGTTTCCGAACCTCTGAAGGATCAACATCGTAAAATATAGGAAAAACAATCTGGTTCAACTTCTGTTTACATTCCATGATCTTCACAAGCTCATCTAGGCACCATCTAGATCCGGCATAGTCTTTGGAGAATACGATGATGGATATCCTTGACTCCTCTATGGCCTTAGACAGCTCAACGGAAATATCCTCGCCTCTCCGAATCGATTCATCATCTCGAAAAGTGTTAATCCCAGCTCGCCTCAAATATGCATAGAGATGATCAGAAAAGGATCCTCGTGTCTCACCTCTAAAACTCAAGAAAACATCATATGTGCGAGCATATGATGAAGAAGAAGAAGAAGATGATGATGCCATACTTGAAATTGAGTATACTATCTATCTAGATTTTCAAGCAGAATGCCTTTGAGCTATAACTAAAGATTTAAAGAGCTACAAATTAAAAGGCCGTATAGCAGACTAGCAAAGGATGAAGAAGAAGGCAGCTTGCCTAGAGCTTTGAAAATGCAATAATCAAATACATGTTGTCACATGGAGCCATTGACTTCTATTACAATTCTTTCTTCTTCTTTTTTTTTTTTTTTTTTTTTTCAGAAACTAAATATTTGGTCCTTTAATGAGTATTGAGTATTGACTTGGTCTTTTTCATAATATTATTTTTTTTCAGAAACTTTATATACCATCAACGCCAATAAATGCTTGAAATTTTATTGGAGATTTATATAGAGAATGATGATGATTGATTTTATGTACTTGAATGTGGAAATTAGATATTTAAGTTGTATTTTAGTGTTATGAAGTGGGGCTAGAACTAAAAAATTCAATAGTGAAAAAAGAAAAAAGAGTAATTTTTTTTTTAATTTTTTCTTATGTTGGTCCCTTGACTTGGTCTTTCTTAACTCATCATCTACCTAATTATTCTAGGATCCACGTAAGATTGCTAAGGACGCATAATTTTTTTCTTTTATTTTCTTTTTAAATTCCAACTATACCTTTTTTTTAGATTTCTATACCTTTTTTTTAGAGTTCTACTACATAGACTCCCAAAATTCTACTCCCTCATCTATACTCCCTGAGGTGGTAATCCAGGATTGGTTATTTTAATCATGTGGGTCCACAAAAAATATCTACATCAAAAACATGTGAGAGAGAGTACAAGTTGAGAGTTTAAAATAGGAGTACACCAAGTATTTTCCCTTTTTTTATTCCCTCTATTTAGATTGCGAATCTTACAATATCCTGTGCAATCTTACAAAGGACGGGTGGTGGGTATTTTTTTTTTCTCAAAGTAACTTTTAATAATAATAATAATAAGGTCAACCAAACTTATGCAATTGGAAATATACAACTTTTATTTTAAAATCAATTTTTTTTTTTTGGGTACATTTGAAGCCTTCAAAGGAGGACATTATCTCACTCTTAAAGTATGCGTACTCTGAGCGTCCGCTTCGAGAAGACTAATTAAGCCCACCGGAGCTGAATCCAGAATGAGCATTCCCCAATCAATACTTTGACCAAAATTCGCGAGCCAGTCTGCACACTGATTACCCTCTTTTACGATATGATGTGGGAAACCTGAAACCTATGGAAACATCTGATGTGGTCGAGGCAATCTTTCACCAAGGCCACAACTGTCTCCTCTCTTTGAACTAATAAGCTTGGTATATCTACTATTTTTTCTAATGACAGAAAATATTTTGTGGGGAGTTCCTCCAAACTATGAGGAAGTTGAGATAGTGATTTTGCCAATTATCCAATTTGATAATTTTCAAATTAGAAAGATGAAAAAGCCTGAAGGGTAAACCTTTGAAGATAGCAGCATCCCAATAAATCTAAAGATTTCAAAGATGTCAAACTTCCAAAGAGCGATTGGATGATATGATCTACTTCATGTAAATACTTAGAAGTTATAAGTAACCGTCAATTGAAAATTCTATATATGAGATCATGACAATTATATCAATTTAAAATACTCAATTAATTTTAACATACAAATGCTACTTGGAAGCTAGCACCTTAATGAGTTTCTTGCACTCGTTGAAATTTAGCCAAACAAGGCTTTCCAAACTTCCAATTTGAACAAAATTCAAAGGATACGTCTCAAGACTTTGTGCCCTAGTGAAGTTGTTCAAAAAATGCAAACTTTAAAATTCTCAAGCATATAAAATGCTGTTAAAATAAAATAGAGGATGTTAATCAATTTCTATTTTTCAAATCAAAGTTCTTAGGAATATGCAATGTTAAAAATATAACACACACACATATTTATATATAGTTTCAAATTGAATGCATTGATAATGGCCTTCACTTTTAATTCCATTGTTCAAAAATATATAATAAATAAAATTTTCATGGAATACGTTTATTTTCTATTAAGTTCACTTTTTAATACCCATGGAAATGAGTTTTCAAATTCATTGTGTTTCGAAATGCACAATTATAATTATAAAAATATCATTGCATTTTTTTTATATAAAAAAAATTCACTCTTGATAATCTTATATGAAGGAATGAAATTATCTGCACATTTTCATGATAAATCTAGTTCTCATGAAAGCCAAACTATATATATATATATATATATATATATATATATATATATTATGTGAACGTAATTGTTCAAAAATAAGAAAATTAGATCAAAGAGATATATATATGAAACCGGTTTGGTGAAGAGGAAATAAATGATTATATATACTTAAATGTTTATGATATTATGTATTTGATTTTTTAATTTCAGTAATTTTAATGATTTCAGCAATGGACTTAAATTTTAATTAATTTTATATTTCATAATATTAATTTTTTTTTTTTTTTTTTTTTTTAAGAATCAAGAACTACATTCCACACCAAAAAGGCCATAAAGCTTTACAAGCGACGCCATAGGTCCAAAAGTGACCTATGGCTTGAAATTACAAGGCCTTTAAAAGGCTTCACAATTATAAACACAACAAGGCCATTCGGCCTTTTTGTCATAACCAAGCACAAGGGTCCACCCATCAAGATGAGTGTAAGTGTAAATATATTGCACATTTAAACCTCTGTTTTATTGGCTTAGATTAGTTGTCAAAGTAGTCCTAGATTAGTCACGGCGTCTGGAGCAGTTGACTGGATCAACGCACAGAAGTATTCCAGGAGATATAAAGCTTATTCAAGGACTTATTCAAGACCCTATAAATAGGGAGATCTAAATCTAATGGAGCAGCCGAATTCTAGGAATGGAAGAGTGCATGTTTTGAGGATCAAAACATCTTTTACAAACCTATATAATGCTACCTTAATTAGCATTCAATTTGCGCACTCTTTCACAAAGTCTTACACTGAAATCTTGGTGCATCTATACCAAATATATCCTGTACTGTTGTGTGTGAAGAAGATCTTGCAATCAGATCATGAAGCAATGAAGAACGCCTGCACATCGGATCCACTGGAGTAGGTTCTGGAGTAGTTATAGGTTATACTTTAGAGTGTAATTAACTATCCTCTTGTACTCCGTTTTTCATCTTAGTGGATTTGGGTTGATGTGAGTGGCCCCGCAGACGTAGGAGTGAGGCTCCGAACTGCGTGAACATATCCTGGTGCATGCTTTCTTTTACTGCTATTTATTTTATGTTCTTTATTATATCTGGAATATGTTTTTATCTAGTCCAGCTTTATAATTGAAATAAATTAAAGGTATTAAAGGCTATATCTTGCATTCAAGACTCACGTGTTTTTTTCAATTGGTATCAGAGCAAGGGGACTTAAATTACTAGTCTAACCGATCTGGCTATCACGTGTTTTTTGAACTCAAGATCTCAGCATCTGACTCTTATTTTGTTTATCTGGTTTACTTGTTGCTCACTGTGCATTGAGTCTTACAGAATGGAACGACATAGAGCACCTCCTGAGCTAACAGGTGACAACTATGCGTACTGGAAGGCCCGCACCAAAATGCATCTACGAGCTCAAGGGGAGAGGGTCTGGAGGGCTGTTCTCACTGGTTGGTCTCATCCCACCAAAGATGGAGACAATACAGGAGATCCTCCAGTCCTCAAACCAGAAGCGGAATGGACAGAGACTGAGATGACTACCGCAAGCTTCAATCATAAAGCGTTAGATACTATATTTTCTTTAATGCATGAGAGTCAATTTACCATTGTTGCAGGATGTGATTCGGCCAAAGACGCTTGGGATGCCCTAGAAACTACCTATGAAGGAACTGCATCAGTTAAACAATCCAAACTCCAAATGGTTCAAACCGACTTTGAAGATCTAAAGATGAAAGATGATGAAACCATAGTGGATTTTCATGCTCGGGTACAAGAACTAGCCAATAGGGCAAGCATTCTAGGCGAACCAATCACTCAAGAACGACTCGTCAAAAAGATCCTTCGCTCACTCCCTCCAAGGTTTCGAATGAAAGTTACAGCCATTCAGGAACACGATGGATGGGAAAAGAAAACGGTACAACAATTGATGGGAAGCCTACAAACTTATGAGATGGAAATCTTAGGCGGACCTGAAACAAAAGGAAAAACCGTATCATTCACTATAGAAGATGCTGGAGCTGTCTCTGATCCAGATGAGGTAAGTGATGATCCAGTAGTCTTTTTAACTAAAGGTTTTTCTAAATTGTTGCAACAGGTAAAACAAAGACAAACTGGAAAGCTTGGCAAGTTTCAAGGCCAAAAAGGATCAGGATCAAGTGCAAATCGAAACAATCAAAGATCAAACTCATCCAGCCAACGACCAAGTGCTTCTCGAAACTCTCAATCTAAAGACAAAACCGGAGGCAAAGGGATCAAGTGTTATGAATGTGAAGGGTATGGCCATGTGCAGGCTGAATGTCCAACCTATTTGAGAAGGAAGAAGTCAATGAAAGTTGCCCTTACCTGGAGTGATGATGATGAACCAGAAACTGATCCAGGTTCTGATCCAGATGAGATCTCTGGAAACTTTGTTGCCTTTACAGCTCTTACAACTACCGTATCTGCTTCTACAACTGGCGAAGAATCAGAAATTGAAGAGTATGTGTCATCAGAAGACCAAGACTTACCTGCACCTTCATTTGAAGTAGAATATAAAAAATTGTATGCTAAATGGGAAATTCTTGTAAAAGTCAATAGGTCTCTGTCTAGTCAGGTTAGCATTCTAGAAAATGCCAAAAAAGTGTATCTATCTAAAATATCTGACAGGGACAGCATCATTGAAGACAGTCACAAGAAAGAAGAAAATCTCAAACATGAGCTAGAAGATCTCAAAAAGGAACTGGAGCAACTCAAACGCAAGATAAAAATGATGGACAACACATCCACCTTAGACAAAATTTTAGATTCTGGTCGAAAGACGTCTACAAAATATGGGTTAGGCTACTCTGGAGGAAAGGACAAAGCTACTACAATTTTCGTCAAAGCCTCAGGCTCTGACTCAGTCTCTGGAACAGTTCAAGATCGTCCAGAAACTAGTACAGCTCGGCGTCCAGTT